GATTTCATTATTCTTAATAACCATCCTTGCCATTGTTTCAGTAATTCTCACTGGCTTTTGACAGCCAGGAACTCACTCACAGCACTGTGTATTCCAGCACTTGTTCATTCAATTTTTCTGCCAAACTGAGCTGCTCAGAAGTGGGGCTCTCCCAGCCATGTATTGAGGCAGGAATGTTATCGGGATTAGGGAACAGGATCCTTCTATCTCTGAGCACAGCTGCACGCACACATAGCACTGCTCGGGTCTGCCATCCACCTCCAGGCGTGGGGACACACCTTGGAGGGCTCACTGCCACCCAGGCAGGGCTGAAAGGACAATCCTCATGGACAAGGTGACATGAGAAAGATGGACTTGCTAGCCAACCAACATGGAAAGAGTTTTCATGAATGGGGCATGTTCCTTTTTAATTATACATGCCTTTCATCTTGCACATTCTACGTGGTTTGCTGAGATTGTGCTTTTGGGAGTTTTTGCCCAAGCTTTTCTTTTCAAAACAAAGGCTTTCTGCTTTTCTTTTGCCAATAAAGGGGTAGCATTAGTTCAGTGCTATTGAAGAGCTGGGCAGAAACAAACAACATGCAGCAGCGATGCAGGAGGAAGAGGAGGAAGAAAACTATTTCTTAAAAGCAAAAAAATTGTTTGGAGGGGACACTTTCCAAGCAGGAAAGCAGTAGCCTCAAAGCAAATTTTAAAATATATTGTGAGGACAATCTTCTGTGAAAAAATAATAATCTGACTACCCATTTTTAAGGAAGAAACAGACAGTAAAACTGCTTTCATATATGAATAACACTTACATAGTCCTACAGCAACGAACAAGACTGAAGCTGCCAAGTAAAAAGAAAAATCAGGAAATTCCAGAATTCATGTCCTTTTGGACAGTTTGTATGGACACATGACGAGACAGTCTTTTAAGCACTAAACAACTGGCACACAGGACAATCCTTAGTGGATGGATGATTCTCACTTAGTCAAAACCTATTCTGAGTTTTGTTTTCTCCTTAGCAAGTGATCCCATCCCTCATTTCTGACTTACTGCTCAAGCCCTGCTCTGAAAACAGAGGTTCTGTGTTTGCTATGGGCACTTCCAGATTGCTCATCACTGCTGCCTTGACTTTTTCAAGCACAGTCAGAGCATTTATGTTTACAACAGCATTATTGGTGGGGGGACTGACTCAGATCCAGTTTAGACACAAGAGAAATCCACACCAAAACCTAACTGCTAAGTTTATGTGCCCATCTGAGGATGCTTGGCTTTTTAGGGTAAAACAGCATCAGACTGTCATACCTTTCAAAGTATAGAGGTCAGCATCTGAATGGCTTTAACCATCAGATTGATCTGTCAGATTCAGCTGCCTTCCTTAAAACTTCTGGGGTTTGTTCATTAACTGCCTACAGCAGATTTTTTTCTCATATAGTTTGTCTTTGCCATTGTCTTGTTGTGCAATTCCAGAGGGGATGGAGAAGACAGTCACGTCTCAGGGTGAGACAGCAGGTAGCCTGTGAATGCCATCAGCAGATTGGCTTTGCCTGCATGTTTTTCCCTTTAAAACAGCAAAATCCAGGCAAGGTGAAGCCAATCCCTGCTGATTTGTCCTGCACCCTGCAGGAAGGGGCTATCAACTTCTACCAGCACTCCACAGCCAGTCCTTACATTCCCATCCTGGAAGCCCTCTCTGGCACCTCTCTTATATTATCTGGGTTGTGGAACTATAGAGTTAATTCAGAAAAGAACACCTGAAAGTCCTGTAAGCACCCTGAGGTACATGCTCACTCTTAGTGTAATTCTGCACATGAACCTCTCCCCAGGCATTATCCTACTGATGTCCTGAAGGCATCATTATATTCCTGAAACCAAAGCAGCTGCATGTGGGAGGAAAATATAGACATAAAGTTCATCAGAACTCCCTATGTCTGTAAAAGGTAAATAATTGCAGGAGTAAATCACTGCAAGATAAGTCCTTAATTATTTAGAGCAAAACAGCAGTAGCAGCATTACAGATGTGAAGCAGTATTTTGTTAACCACTCAGCTTGGGAATACTTACACAGTAAGATATGGTTCTGCACAAGAAGAGGAGGAAAAATGTAGATTGTTTTTTTTCAAATAAATCATTTTCAATTCAGGAAGTAACATGAAAAAGCATGAATAAACACCAAAGGGAAAAAAAAGTAATTATGTTTAAGTTACTAGTAAGTATCAGCTATTTCAGATAGCTCAGAGATGCTTCTGCTAATTTCTGTTTGCATCTACATTTCCTTATTTTTTTACCTTTCCTGTTGTACTGTATGAAAACTTCACTAAGCACAGGAAGAGCTGACTAAAAAGCAGCAGTGAGAAGATGTCACTGTCACTGACTAAGTGGTGACACCAGCAAAGTGCTCTCAAATCCACAAATCGAACTAACTGAGAGAAAAAAAAAAAAAAAGAGATAAAACAGAATTCTTCAATTCCTTTATTGCATATTTTGTCTTCCATAGTAGTTTAAACCTTCTCGGGAAGGAAAAAAGATTAAGGGGTTTTGCTTGGCTATTTTATGTTTTTTTAATTATAGAACTCTCTTATTTAAGGAGGAAAAGAATATACATACATACATATAAAAACAGGGAATTGGTGTTGTATTAATGAAATTATGCACCAGATTCTCAGCTGGTGCAAAACAGAAACACTTCCCTTACTTAGGGGATGTAATTCCAATCTCCATCAGCTGAGGATCTGATCTAAAGAGCTTTCCTCTTACAAAAATATATTCAGACTCACCTCAAGTTAGACACTAAGTGTACCAGATTGAAACTGGCTTGAAGTCTCATATTTCAAAGCCATTTTCAACCTCTTCTTTCTATATTTTATCCTATATCCTCTTTTCTGGTCAGAAAGAGCAGAAGATGTAAACATTGACAGAATCATAGAATCATTTGGGTTGGAAAAGTCCTTTGCTACAGTTGCTGGATCTGCTCTACCTTCCAGGCCTACTTAGAGACTTTGATGTGTATTTTATGAAAGCACAGAATGCTTCATAGCACACTGACATGAAACTGTTTAAAGTCCCTTGGGGACATCTACCCATCTTCTCCATGATCCAGGTGTGCATAAACCAACCCACTTGGTTATATGGCAGGGACAAACACCTTAACTTCCATGCCCACGGGCAGAGTGGCATTTCCCCTTTGTGCAGGGGGATACTAGGTTTTAGGGCAATAATCCAGGTTTTAACTCTTCACCTGTGAATGCTAAGAATTCTAAGAAGTGCCTTGGAGAGTATTGTGGGAGCGCTTGTCTGCTCCTGCTGGCCCTCTGCTGAAAGCTGCTGTACCTGAGTGCTTAGAGGGGTGACACTTTCTCCACTGAAAACAAAGCCTAAAATTACAAACTGAGCAGAGCTGAGCACTGCTAAGTCAGTTAGGGAAGGAGCTCCAGGGAAACTCGTGCTAAGCAGCTTAGGTGCCTTCTGAAAATCCCACACCTTTACATTTCATCCTCACGCAAAACACAGAACCATCAGCCACGTGCTCTTCCCACAGGAAGAGCAATCTCTGTCAAAGGCAGTATCTAGGTAACAAAATCTATATTCATATTGTTAGAAGGTCTTCAACAGCAATGTTTCTGTTTGGTAATATGGGATATTTTTTTGTCACAACTCCCTTTTTGCTTTAAATGTGAACATTTTTATGGTGTTCTGTTTTCTTTTTAAATTTCCAGTTGAAACCACATTATTGTCAGATGTGTGAAAACTGCAGCTCACAGTTCCACAGACATTTTCCCTACTGACTTTCAGATCAAATCCAGCTCAAGTAATTCTCTCCCAGCCTAGTCCCAACTCTTGTACTCCCTTGAAAGTTCAAGCTTTCTGTTAGCATTTTCCATCAATACAGCGTCCTTCATACTCCCAAATGTACTGGAAGAAGCTTACTAGCTTACCCTTTCCTATTCTTAGAAATGCCAAAGCAACTCTGAATCCTAAGACCAACTCGATGCTCCTAAAACAGAAACACCTACTGAAGTGAGGTTGACTCCATAGAAGAAATACATATAAAGAGTCAGGGACTCATGCAGGATTTCTGCCTGCAGTTGCATTTCCACCAGTGTGTTTCAGCAGTCACACATTTGCTAACACCTCAAAGAAGTTTATCTGTAATGCTGCCACTTGCAAACAGTCCAATTATCTCTGCTCATTCAACAATTAAACACTCAGCCTCTTACAAATGGCCCGAACACACAAGCTGAACATTCAGGAGACACAAACACAGGAAGTTAGGATCTTACTCAGGAGTCCTACACAGATGAGTGGGTGGGCAGAATGCAGCCCCCTGGTGCAGGGACAGGGACTAAAATCACAGCTGATCCCGACTGCTGGGGTCCCAACACGACTACCAGCACACAGCTATGAGACAGGTATTTCTCAACAGCTTATCAAGAAACTATACCAAGTGGACTTGACAGAGACATGATCCTATCACTTAACAAAAAAACCCAATCTCTCTTGACCACCTTCAGCTCTAGGGTGAGCGTCATGCCTGCCATGAGCTAGGACTTTACAGCAAGATCTAACTGAATCAAAAATACAATTTAGTGGGCTTTGAAAGATGAACAAGTTTGAACTCAACCAGCATATGGCATTTATTAGATGAAGAAATGGGTATGAACTGCAAAGCTGGCTTCCAAGAGCCCACAGTTATTCTTTGTGATCTTTGGAATTTCACAGCCACTTTGGGGCCCAGAGCTTCAAAACAATCTGCCAGGGAAGGCTGGATACACCCAGGGAGACACTGAGAGGGAAATGCGATAGCATCAGCAGAGGAGCTCAGTTACACAAAAGGAGAGGTGTGGCTGAACCACAACTTTTCTGATTCACATCAAGGCTTTCCCAAAGCTGAGAGCTGCACTCTCTGAAGAGGACGGTACAGACCCAGAGCTACACTTTATTTTCGCTACCTGCTGCACTGGGACGGTAGTGATAAAGGAAGGAAGAAGTGTGAGGAGAAGCCAAGGTGGGCTCACCAGAGTGTGTCCTGAGGTGTCCTGTGAGGGCGTCCCTCCGCCGGCAGGCGTAGCTACAGAAGGGACATTTGAACGGTTTCTCCCCAGAGTGCAACTTGATGTGCCTCAGCAGGTTCCCCTTCTGGGTAAAAGAAGCTCCACATTGGTTACAGTGGAAGGGGCGTTCACCTGGAAGGGAAGGGGAAGGGAGAGAGCTGTCAACACACATCGGAGGATGCACAGAGGCCACTTTCCCACTCTGTACCAGTGCCATTGCACATGGGTACAGTCCCCACCACCACCATCACACGGCACTTCTAAAGTCAGAGGCCGTTGCTTTTGCACAATGGGCAAAGCCTCCAATAGTGATTTGAGGCTCTTTCCTTGAGGTGATCAATGGTTCCTGGTTTTCTTGAAAGTTCTTCACCTCAGAGCTTCTATCCTTCATAAAAGATGAGCTCTGCTGAAAATTTAGATCCATAGTTGTGGTTTTGCAGTATTTACTTCTATGGTTTTGCACTTATTTTTAGTATAGGTCCAATGCATACGAGTATTCAGAACTGATCATAACAATTGGACCTTAGCAAAGGTGTTAAGGCCTTTGGTTCAATCCAAACCTTTTGCTTGTTAATGCTATACTTTAACTGAGAGCCTTTTTAAAGGCTGCTTTGCATTGCTAGAGTGACATGGAGGGCATGGATGTGAGAGAGGATCAGGGTTGCAAGCTCTGGGCAGTACTGAAAGTTGAGAAAAATCTTACACCATTAAACTGTGAAACAAGCAAATTTGCACTCTACATAAAACAAATTAAAAAGACTGATTTGACAAAAAACTAACAGAAACCCTAGACCTTACCCTGTTGCTTCATCCCATGTGTTCACACACACTCATACACACATCCAAAGCTTATTTTTATGTTAAACCTTCATGTTTGCCTTAGACAGTGGGGATTGGGTGTATTAAAAAAAAAAATCTTCTTTTTTTAAAAAATTATTTTTTAGAGGAAAACCCTTGATGAACTCACACAGGATTTCTGGAACATTATCAAAGCCATACTCTACACCAACATTTGCTGAGGACACTCAGACTGTTCCAGCAGTCTTGTGCAGGCAGTCAGCTCTAATCACCTGCTTATGTCCTGCTGAGCAAATCAATTGAACACAAGCATATACTTATGCTAGCCACTTGTCCAAGTGCTTTACTGCAGCTGGACTTTAGATCACACAATTCCAGAACGGTTTGGGTTGGAAGGGACCTTAAAGCCCATCCAACCCCACCCCCTGCCATGTCCAGGGACATCTTCCACTAGTCCAGATTGCTCCAAATCCCATCCAACCTGGCCTTGAACACTTTGAGGGATGAGACAGCCACAGCTTCTCTGGGCAACCTGTGCCAGGGCCTCACCTCCCTCACAGGGAAGAATTTCTTCTACAAGTACGTGATTGAAATCTACCCTCTTCCAATTTAAAGCATTACCCAATGTTCACACCAAGTAGGGCCTCAGCTCAACAAGGTCTTGATCATTAGATTTCAGATGTGAGCGACCTCATCCACATTTTTCAGTGCATCACCTATTATAGAATCTTGGCCAAACCCTGCTGGAACCTTCTGAGTTTGAGTTCAGTGGCGTGAAGCACAGATCTTGTGAAAAAACAAAAACATTCTGTGATCTTTCACATCTTTTCAAAGCCTTTACAATTGCTTTAAAACAATTCCTCCCTCGCTGGACAAATTCAATGCTACATTTGTATCAAAGTAGTTCATGTGTCTGTCTAGGGTGAAGTCCAAAACACACGTGGAGACTCAAATGGAAGGAGAGGGAGGGAGGGAGCTCTTACAGATGCCCACAAGCAATTCTTGTGTCAGTGGTTCCAGTCTCTGCCAGGACCACGATGCTGCCAGGAGGGAAGCACAAGGTGGGCCATGTGGATGCCATACTCGGTGACTTTATTTTACATCTGGGAGATGGAAATCATATCTGAGGCTGCCACAGAGGTACTAGAGGAGATACTAAGGTTCCTACGATCTCACCAAAAACATTATGGAGTAATAATAATGAAAAAATCACAGCATAAAGCTCTTCTTCCAATACACTGAACACGAGCTCATTAGAATTGGTAAAGAGTTTGTGGTTTCCCTTTCAAACTCCCACACTAAACTTAAATGATCTGATTAGCCATTATCTTCTTTTATATCATTTCAAAATGTCCATAACAGAGATCTGTAAAAGAGACTGCAGTAGAAAAATACACTTTTTTTTTTTTTCTGTTTTGCTTTTGCTGTCTGAGAAAACAGGCAAAACCCTTTCCTTTGACACGTTTCTGAGTATTCTGGAATGATAGCTTCAGTTTCAGGATGACAACATGAAAGAAGGTAGCACGTTTCTTACCAAGTCTAAAGTCTTTCCTTTTACTCCTGCTGTATTTAAAATTATGCAGTTACTGCGTTTTACCCACTACATCACCCACTTATCTCTGACATTTTGGAGGCCACATATGAGCAGGTATTACTCCTCCAAAAACTGGCTGCTCTAGAGATGCTGAAAGCTTTCAGTCAGGAATTCAAATAGTCACTGCACCACAGTTTGATGGCAAAGACGACATGAAAACACTCACCACAAAATCACCCGTAGTCTGCTCCTCTCTTGCAACAGACAGAATCTGCTCCAATAGCACTCTTTACCTTAAATAACCTTTGTATCTATTTAAAGCCAGCCTGAATTCATTTCTCCTACTGGCTTCATTCCGGGTAAATAGCTGCTTTGATGTGTTTGTTACACTTTTGTCCAATCACTCGATTCCAGCTCCTTGTTTAAGCCGCAGGCTTGAGGGATGCAATTTTGGTCACACCTTCGTGCTATTGATTAGCAGCTTTTACATTTAGCACAGCTAATCTGAGAGGCCATTATCCAATAGAAGGGTGCACAAACAGAAGCAAGGACTGCATAGCAAGAAGATTCTGTTGGTTTTCCAAGAACTGTGCTGTCTGATGCCCACTCCAGATACTAGCAAACAAGCCTTTTTTATCACTTCAATGCCTTGAGAAGACTGTGCTCCAATTATTTCTCCCGCTGCCTTTTCCTGGTAGTTTTGTAAACTGTTCTCCAGAATTATTACTTCCCAGTAACAAAATAACAACCTTGACATCCTTATTCACTTCCCTCACTTTTCTGTGAAAACACAAGAGGTTTTATCCATAAGCTGAAATCAATCACACTTCAAACTAAACATCCACTCACAAAAAGTCTTTAAACACAGTTTTTCTGTACATGATGGTCACTGATTGTGTTTAAAGTGTTTTTGGGAGTGATGCAACACAGACATACCAGAACTATGGACCTATTAAAGGTAGCACACACGACTCCAAGAGAGTAATGACAATTATAAGCATGGTGTGCTTCCCCACCACTTACAGCTAGGTATTTCCTGCTTGACTCTAGGTACTTATACAGATTTAATAAAGTAAGAACTCTGCTGAAAGGCAACTAACCAAGTTTTGTGCTTTTCAGCACTGGAAACTATGTGACTGAAACCTAACTATAAAATATCTCTAGTCTACTTTAAGTATTAAATCTCTTCTCTGTTACTGAGCTAAACCAGGGCAGAAAACCTTCCAACTCAGTGACTTTCAGATCAGCAAGAGGTGGGGGGAGAGCCAACCAAACAAAAAAGATGTTTCTTTTCAACTGCACATTTTGAGTCTAAAGCCAGACAGAACCAGGAATGCCTAAAAAACCCTTGCTTTCCAGCAGAGGGGATTTAATTATCTAAGTTACTTCAGGAATGGACAAGGCAAGGTAAGCCAGAGCTGCTAAGTATTATCTTTCCTAACGGCTTTTTAACAGGGGTTTGTGCCAGAGAATAATTAAATTAATAAATAAATGCATCCATAGAGTTTTATCATTTTACAGTTAAATAAAATATTAATCAGAAGGTATGATTTCAATGTTTACCTCTGAATTACAATAAAATACTGCTGAAACCTCACAGCTCATTGTTTAACATGCATCCATTACTGCTGTTTCCTCCAGGAAAAAGAATCATGAATAATAGTAATGAAAAATTACTGCTCTTGAGTTCCATGAATATCTGAAGTACACAGGTTAACTTGCTCTCATGTAAACAAATCCTTAATAAATGGTGAAGTGGACCCCCGAAGGACAGGACAGGCAAGACATGGGCCTTTCTTTCACAGTGGCTTTGATACATGACAGCTGGATGGAGACTTCACTGCACAAGCCACGAGTGCTGGCTGGCTGATACAACCTGAAACCAGGCAAATGAGCCAATGAACTTCCGACTAATAGATTTCACAGATGTCAAATATCGTTTCAAAAAGCAAACCAGCTCCTTTTTCTGCTTAATTGGAAGTTTCCCTGCACAGCAGCCCTCCTTTCCCACCTCAGCACGGAAGTGCTGTGCAGAAGTTTCAGTATGAGTTAACCTTCTTTGAATCTCAGATCAGTGCAAAACAGTGATATTTTCGCTGCAAAGATGAGATATTTTCTGTATTTAAACAGAAATTTGGCTGAGGATGTGGAGCCCACAGATTTGGCAGCCAAGGAGACAGATTTTCTTAGCCCTTGGCTGGTAACATTCGTCCCTTTGAAATCAAAGGGGGAGTGACTCACAAATTAATGCACTGGTTCTCAATAACGCAGTCAGGGTATTCCTACAGCAGCAGTCCTGCTACATAAAACCCAGGTCCAGAGGGACTTCAACATCTCTCCTGGTTAAATGTGTATCTGGGAACTCAACCTTTTTTGTGTGGCAGACACTTTTGATATGCAAAGTATAGCTTAAGTACTTCTCAAATGGGATTTTTTCTTTCCAGCCTCTTAACACAAAATTGCTGCACCCATGCTGCCATCAGAAAGTATTTGCTCTTACTAATAATACCGATTTTCACCCTTCCACAATAGGCTTTTTGTTAATATTCATTTTGTTAAAATGAAACATTTCTCCCAATTCATCAGATGCTGCAGCTGCTGTGATTCTGCTCTGCCCCAGGAACACAAGGGAATTATCAGCAGTACTCCCAACACAGTGACAGCTCCAACCTGCATTTACCCAAGCGAGACACAGAGCAGCAGACCTTGCTCCATTTCTCTGTTTGTTATTCTAGGGACCATAACTCGTCTGCATGCCTCTTTACTGTTCCATCTGATTCACTCAACAGCCTGCACATCACATGAAATCAGTGATTTCAGCAGGGATTTTTGTTGGAAAAAACCTCCTTCCAGACAGGGAAATTTATTATAAAACAGTAGTGACAAATCTCTCATGAAAAATTCCTGGGAAATCCTGGGTGATTTCCAATTGTTCTCTGTACAAATTTATGACTGCATTCTTAAGACAGAAAAATCTTTTAAGTGAACTTGGAAAACTATCAGAAGAGTTTGGTTATTGAGTACTGCAAGTAAAACACATCCTTCTGTCCAGAGCAATTTCAAAAATCTCAGCTCTCTTTCCTTATGTTTAAGCAGGAAAAGAGATGACTTTTCAGGAAGTTAGACTTCAGAACCTAAGTAGAAAAGTGGACTTTAAGAAATTTAGCCCTAAAATTTTTGTTACAGCGCCAAATCTATTAATGTTGCAAGAGACAATGCGGAAGCTGCACTAGGTTACAAATTAGAAATTAAACTAAAAATCCCCTTTCTGTCAGCAAAATGAGAGAGGCATTTCAGTGGAGTTCATCAAAACGTGTTTATATGACCATTTATTTAAATTTGCTCCTGGTTAGCTGCTTAGGCATACAAGTCTTTTATATGAAACAAAACAACTGGGTTTTTCGTCATTTATTACTTCTGTCCTAAAAACTTGAACTCTGCATGGGAAAAAAGTCAAATTGCATTCAGAGTTCCAGGGCTGCATATGTTCAGTTGTAACACTATGGGTGCTAAAGCAGAAGCTGAACATCTCCCTCATGGGCACACAACTCATTTCACTGACTCATGGTATTGAAGTGCTTGTGGGGTCCAAGCAAAGATCTGAGACCATCCTGCAGTTAACACCCCAAAAAAAGGCTAAAAGTAACATACCAGCAGCCCAAAGTAAGAGTGGGGCAAGGCTGGCATCCCCACTGCCTCTGCCCAGGCTGTGCTTTGCCACTGTGCTGCTGCTGCTTCCAAACAGAGAAAGCATTTAATACTTAATAATATAAAACTGTATTTTATAAAACAATGAGGATGAGAAGTTGTGCAAGCCCAATCCCCAGAGTTGTCCAAGGCCAGTTTGGATGGGGCTTGGAGCAACTTAGGCTCAAGGAAGGTATCCCTGGCCATGGCAGAGGGTGGAACAGGATGACTTTTAAGGTCCCTTCTCACCCTAACCATTCCATGATTCTATGATGCCAGCCTTCCCTTAGAAATAAAAAGCATTACAAAACCTAGCAGCAAACTAGATAAGGCATTGGGTGCTACAGCAGAGAAAAAAAATATAAAAAAAAGGTCACAATTCACAGCAAAAGGGAGAAAAACACACAGACATCACAGAGCACAGAAGTACCAGCATGGCTACACCAGAATACAGTTCCTGCTTTACCAGAAACAAGAAGCAAGGGAATTTTAATTCAGGCCCACAGCAGAAAGCATAAAGAGGTGAGAAGTCACTGATGTTCCTTCTCATGATCTCAGAAAACCGGGATTATTTGCCTCTTCTCCTTCCCCTCTTCCCTCTACATCTCTAAGCACAAATCCCTGGAGTATCCAATGACAATATTCTGAGACCAAGTCATCTCCTGTAGCAACAAAAAACTGATCCTGCAACTTGAGGAATGTTCTGTGGAGTGTGAAATTTGGACCAAAAGAACACAGTATGGGATAAGAGGAAAATAAATCCAGCCCATGCTATTTTTCTGACACAAGGATGTGGCACATGAGGGAGGGGGTTACCCTGCTCACTAATGCAGGGATTGCATCATGCTTAATTCCCACACCACGCATTTTATTTATTTTCTGTCAGCAATGACAAATAAATAGAAAGCCCTTCTCCTGGTGCCCAGCAGATTACAAAAACACTTCACCTCAATTAGCAGTTTTTCAGAGAAACAGTGTTTGGCACAATCAGCAGTGCCACAGGCCCTGTGGTGGAAGGGCTGCAGACCAGAGCATCACTTGGACCATGATCTGAGGGATGAATGGGCAATCCCCAGCTTGATCTATCACAGGAAGGGGTGACTGCACACCAGGATCAGAGATGGGACACTGAGCTCACCTACTCTGGCCTCATCCACGACAGATTATTTTCCCCATCCCTGTATCCATTTGACTGAACTACCATAATGTAGCAGGGAAGACAACTGCTCTTCAGGAACACAGGAATAATAGCTGGATAAATGCCCCTCTCTGTGCACAGCACAGCCAGAGCCCAAAGCACAGCTTCTTGCCAAGCCTTGATCCCCAGTGCAAGGAAAGCTGCACTCATCCCAGCACACACACAAATTACAGCCTCTGCTATGGACCACAGCATTTTGGGCGATTTACATAAAATGCTGACAGGTTTTCGGGGAAGGGAAAAGCACTTCAGTCTTTGCCAATGCAAACAACTGGCCAGATCATGCTTTGGTTGTGTGCAGTTAAAGAGGAGAGCAAAGCAGGATTCAGCTCCCAAAACATACTTAAATTGGCTTTGAGAGGTAGGGATGTACATGCCAGTTGGATTAGCTATAAAGAATGTCATCTGTTTCCACTCACTAGGGACAACCTCCCTTCTCTCCACCATTCTCCCTTGGGCTGCAAAACCAGACTACCCACAGGTCAGGGCTCATTCCAGAGCTGGGGCCAGCCCATCACGCCCCGCTGCTGAGGAAGTGGCGATATATTTTAAAATACTGCACTTTACAAGATAGATACCAGTATGTTAAAAATACGCCTTAAAATCCAGGATGTGGAAATCCAAGCAAACTTCTCCTTCTGTTGTGGACAGCCAAGTAGCAGCATGTATTAAAAAACAAACAAACAAAGTGGAGGGGAAAAAAAAAAATCCTCTTCAAAATTTGCCAACTGGTTTACCGAGAACAGAGCACCGAGCTGCACATTAAAAGAAATGCCATTTCTATATGCTTGAAATCATCTGTATAGAACAGCACATCCCAGCTCCTCTGCTCTGATGGGAAAACTCAGAGCTCTCTGAGGAAGCAGCAGTAGCCCCAAGGAAAAAGCTACCAGTTATGCAATTGCTGCCCATGCACCCGCAGACGGCCGTCTCACCCGCACGCAGAGGAGATTTTTTCCTTTCCCTTTGAATTTACACATCTTCTTCAACATGAAAAAGGCAGCTTGCCTGTATTTAAAAGATGCACCAGCTATTCGGTATCTCAGAAATGCAGACCACTTAATTAAGTACCTAAATCTAAATTTAGCACAGCTAGTTTAGCTGCTCGAGTTCAAATACATGGATTCTGATGCACCTACAATACATATGCTCAGATACATGCAAGCACCAGTGAAAACTTTTTGGGAGGTTTAAAGCTGGAGACTTAGTGTGCTACATTCTTGTTTCTTTTTCCCTCTTCTAGCAACAGCACATCAAATTGTTAATCAAGGCTTTGCTTCTCCAGCTAACGCTTTTCTCCTCTCGTAATTCCTGTCTGAAATCATGAGTGCATCATAAACGATTCTGCCATAATTTGCATTACACACTTAGGTCAAGTTTTTATCAATACAACTCATATACAGGAGATTAACTATGTAATATATATTTATTATTCCTCTGTACAGAAATTCTATTGATTTCTTGCCCATCAAGAGCACACTACTGGACTGCAAACTACCAGGTTTACAAAGGGATTACACAGTCTTTCTTACTCTACTCTAAAACTCCACCTTTCTTTTTATATCCTCACAGATGTCAGCCAGTGTGAGTCTCTCACTCCATTAAATAATAGCAAAGGTGAAAAGCAAAATATCTAAAAAATACAAAGAACAAACACCTGCTGAGGCTCCACCACAAAAACCTGTGCTTAACCTTAATAAGATTTAAATGTGTATCCAAAGTTAAGCGTATCTTGAAGCCCTTCAGGTGACTTACATGTGTTTAAATCTCATAAAAGTTAAGCACAAGCTTAAGTGCTTTTTTGAATCAAAGGTACACCACTGCAAGACCAGAGAACATCATCTTCTGACACCACCTGTACTTCTATTGGAGGTGACTATTGCTCCCACCTGAGGAGTGGGCAGCACGGGGGAGTGAGTACCAGCTTCCTGGGCACACCATTTTACCATAAGTCCCTTGAAATACCCCAGTTTAAGCTCAAGACCTCAATTTTCAAACCACAAAGATCTGCCCAATCAGCATATTGCAGAGGTTCCCTTTGCCTCTTAAATTCTCAAACCCACAAGCCTGATAAGCTGTTTGGGACTCCAAATGGTAATAAATATACAAGTGCATGGAGAGACCAAGCACTGAAAGCTGCCTCCAGAATGGTACTGAGATGGTGTGGGGGAGCCAGGTGGGTGGTTCAGCTGAGTGTGCTCACACAGTGAGCAGCAAGCCCACCCTGGCATCAGGATTACTGGGAAATGAGTGTCCCCTCAAGGGTTTGCTCATCCCAGGCCCAGCCACTTCCAAAAGAAGCGTGAGATCCCCAGGAAGCTGCTGGTCTTGTCCACCTGTGAGCACCTCCAATGGAAGAACATCTAAGACTCCTCTTAAAAGCTCAAAAGCTTTGCACTGCACACACACGAACAGAATGACCCAGCTGCCCCCAGGCCAGAGAATGACTCCCACCGTCTTGCTCCAGTCAAGAACAATAAGAAAAGCAATTTCCAGACTTTAGTGCTGTTTTTAAGAACAAAAGGCTGGAAATCAAAGTAAAGGAAGCACCATGTTTGCCAGCAAAAGAGCATCACCAGAATTTGGAAAGCAGGAAGAGAAACAAAAGCAGTGCAGGCCATTTTCCCCCTCCCCAGCTTCCTGCTACCCCAGGAATGAAAAGGGAAGAGAGAAGAATTGTCAGGTAACATCAACATCGCCACAGATTTGCTTTCAGCTGCTTACCAGTGTGGCTCCTTTTATGTACCATTAGCACATTGGGCCCAATGCAAACCATGCCACAGACGTCACATTTCAGTTTACCATTGGGAAGCCGGATTCCTCCCTCGCTTGATAGCTCCTGGATCTTTCTGTTATCCACCATCTCGTTACTCCCAATGAAGGGATCTTCCAGGTTGCTTCCTCCATCATGAGCTCTGATAATATCTTCATGAATCAGGGGCTTCCTGTCAAATTCCTCATCACTTTGCATTTCTAGCTTTACTGAATTTGCTGAAATGAAAAAAAAAAAAAATTAAGTTCAACGCATGTATTTCCCAACTTCCCAACTACTTATATCATGATAAACTTTTTACTGTTATCAATATTAAATCACAGCCTTGAAGCTCAAATCATCATGAGAGTCTCACGGTGGTGATGGCATCACAAGTTACAAGAAAGCACATTTCTTTAAGTTTTTGTTTTGTTTTGGTCTTTTTCCATTGCTGATTTCTATCTAAGTTTAAGAACTCAGGTACAGTGTGAGAGAGACAGCTGACAAAAGTTGTAGAGATGCAGCAGGATTAACTGACCTCCTGCTTCTCCACTTGAACCACGAGAGTTGTCTTCTTCTTAAGGAGCCAAAGCCAAAGCCAGAGCTGTTCCTTCCAGGCAACCCTAACCCTGCCCAGTGCCCCAAGAGGTAAGGCTCCCAAAGGCACAGCACAAGGAAGCAAAGTGGGATTGTTCCAAATGCAAAGATCTAGTGAAGCCAGGCTTGTGGGCTGTGCCAGTAATCTCCAAATCACCCTGCCTGCACGGACAGGTTCCCTGATGGAGGGGAGACCAGTCTCTGGATGAGCCTCCAGTGCTTTTTTGCTCCCACCTTCTGATTCACATCCATGGGACACAGCCAAGGCAAACAGGGCTGCAGCAAGACCTACACTGCTGGATTATTTATATTTGCAAGCAAAATACGTGCAGTTGAAGGCACCTTTCACATCTGCCTGGTGAGACTGGCGGGCTCACTGCTGATTTTTGTGATCCTCAGGTGACAAGATAAACCTCCTCTAACCATTGAGAGCTTGTGGGATGAGCAAGCCTTTAAAGAAAACAAATGAGCCAGGCTTTTTCACACAGGGGTGTCAGTGCAGGGGTGTTGTGATCACCAAATGCCCCCATTTCAATGCCCCAAGAGTTGGCTGAACCTGCTGAAAGGCCCATGCCAGAGTCAGAGCCTCCATCCACAGTGTCAGCCAGAAGGCAAGCCCACGTGTCTGCTTCCCTAAGCCTTGATCCTGCTGAGGGGTTTAACAAGGAGGTGATTCAGCCTTCATATCTAAGCAGTCTTTGACCTCTGTACTAAGGCCATTGGCACGAGTGCTGGTGACAGCAGCAGACCTGGAGCACAGATCTGTGCCCTAGGCCTGCCTGGTGTCACCAAACTCTCACTCTTTCGCAACTTCCAAGGGTCCCCATCCAGGAACCCAATGACAATTATAACTAAACACTGTGAGGCATCAGACTTTCAAACAGCTGGCCTGGAAATATCAGAAGAAAAAATGCTACTATTTAGAGTTCCTCCTTCATCTCCCTTTCTTCCCCTTTCCAGAAAACACAGGGTTCAGAGACTGATGTTGATGCTGCAACTTTAAATCATTGCTGTTACTACCAGGGAAAGCATAATGAACAGGGTTCAGCAACCAGAGACCAAGTAAGATGTTCCTTTTTAATCATAAAACTGTTGAAACATCTTTCACTACTCATCAAGGCACTAATGGGAGCTAAGAAACGAAAAGAAAGCACTATTATAGCAAAGCCCATCCAGAGCAAGGACACTGCTGCATCAGATCACAGCAGAGCAGTATCAGCACAGGCACCACCATCCAAATGGTAACTACAAAATATTTGAGTGCAGCACTTACAGAAAGGAATTAATATTTTTGTTGCTACAGAGATGCATTTATTGTTCTTAAAAGAGTAAAAAACAGCCCAGACTGAAAGGTCAGCTAGGACGTGGCCCCAGGCAGTGCCCTGGGTAGAAACAGGTCAAGAGGAGGCAGTTTGCCTGGGGAGCAGGAGGGGACTGGCCCCACCAGGGCAGCAAGACAAGCCATTGGAAGCCATCCTTCCCTGCTGCTGAGCCCAAGTGGCACAGCCAACAGCCTTCTGAGCGAGAGGATCTAGCCTTGTGGAGGGGCTGGCCAGAAAGGAGGAAGAGCTCTGGCAGCTCCGTGGGCTGTCAGGGAGAGAGCCGAGGTGCCAGACCCACCTCCCCATGGAAAGCACACACTGGTGATTTATGGGCAGCCCACTTTCAGAGCAAAGGAATGGCAGTTCCCTCTAATAATAGCAGCCTTTTGGGGTATTCAGCAAGTCTGAGAATGAAGCCCAAAGAAACGGTTCGCTGGCTTTAGGAGCAGGATTTAATACACTCAGCCACACAAGTAGCTACAGCAGAGCCAGAAACAGTGCCCTGTGCTCTTCATCTAAAACCCCAGGTTACTGCCACGAGCCTGCACCCTGTCCTAGCACGGTACTGCACAAAATATCCAAAAGCCACATCCCAAATGTGCATATTGACATGTAGTCACAAGAGAAAGTCTTGAATCTTACGTGTCTTCTTACATATATCAATTTTTGTCTGTTTCTCTGATTTGGAATAATAAACACTTGAGCGCAGTTAATGCTGAGCACCACGACTTCCCATTCACAGCTGTGGAGCTCTGCCTGCTCAGCACTCAAGGCTGTGAGAGCTTACAAATGGGAAGACCACTTACTTTATCTTCCTTCTCCTAGCACTTCTTTCTGCTGAATGACACTTTCATACAACAGGAGAAGGAGCACGACCAAGTGCCTGGAGCATAGCCTCCCCCCCACACACACACAGAGCTCACAAAGCCCAAGGAATTCACTCTGCATCCTTCAAAACATCCCAGCTGTCCTATGAGCTGTGCAGGCTGTTTGCTGTCCCTCCTTCCCTCACCTCCATGCACACGGAGCACTGCCAGTGCCATTTTCAGAAACCCTCTGGCAGCTGTGGAAAGGTTTCCTCCAGCTGGGACCAGCCACAGGTCTCCAAGGAGGGGAGCAGGGATCTCCTTGGCTCGTTGTGAGGGCTTTGCTAATCAGCTTTTCTCCTCTGCCTTACACCATACAGGTGGATATATATATTAGCCTGTGTGGTAGCTTGCATACAAACAGGCACTTAAATTGCACACAGTTTGTTTTCTCAGTTCTCAGCCAGCCTCAGAAGCTGCAATCATTTAGTAGTGGCACTGTCTTTGTTTTCACCTACAGCATTAAGGGAGCACAATGAACTCTCCTGTAAAGGAAAAAGAGATGTTCAAGGGATCTTGATGGCTATCCTGCATCATACACAAGGCTCCACATCAAATTTCACTCTCTGTTCCCTTGCCTTTCTTGTTCACATGCTTGATAAAAGCATAAATAAGTAAGTGGATTTTGTTGGGGTTTTTTAAAGTTTTTGGAACATTCCTAAAGAAAAAAAAAAGGCAGCAAAAGAGATGGTAGGGATAAAACTGTAATTCAGCTCACTGCAAAAGCATGAACTTGAAGTCAACCCATTTCCCTCCAGTTAGTATAAGGTCCTTTTACTTTTTCCAGATCAGCAAAACAGCATGTGGGGAAAAACATAAGACAAGCAGCACAAAAGCTTCTACCTGGGAATACAAAGCTAATGGCACATATTTACCAGTCCACACATTAATGTTGCTTTCTTTTTCATTTTTCTTTATTTTTGGGGGTTTGGTGGGTTATTCTTTTTTGGGGTTTTTTGTTTTGTTCAGCACACAAATCAGCTGATCCTGAATCACACTTTATCCTGAGTGGCCAAATTGAATACAATTATTGTTAATGTCTCATAATGTCTCATAATGCCAATTAAACTCCAATTCCCAGCTAAACAGTTTCTTGGGAACTTTTCAGTACAAAAATACTTCCTTCACCCACAAATTAGCATGGCTACAAACCAAAAGTTGGAAGGTCCACCTAAAAAAATTCCTGGTATTTCATCCTCTGGCATGGAAATTTTTCCCTCAAAAGTGAGATCTGGGGGGAAAAAAATTCTTCTGAGAATTGATCCCTAGGTAGAGTGTAAATTAAAGCAGTGGACATCTTCTTAAGCAAGCAACAAGAGTGCAATTCCCACTAAGAAACAGAATTCCTCCTGTCCAACACACCAGGGAGAAGGCAGCAGGGCTGTATCCCTCTGTCTCCTCCACTGTCTGCTGTCCTAGGTCAATGCTTATTTTATCTGTGGCCTTGGAAAGCCAGGCTGGCCACTGTCACCGAGGGTTTGTGGTCTCCAGCTGGAGGCTGGCGTTTCCTGGCAGCAGCCAGGCACCACCAGCCCCTTCCTGCTGCCCCCAGAGCAGCAGCAAGTCAAGGCAGACCCCTCAAGGCCTCCCACGCCACTTCCCCCATCGCCCCTCCTCTCTCCAGCAGGAAACAAAGCCTTGGCCCAGCCTCAGATATTTATCCTTGAGGAGGCAAAATTCAAACCTGCCAGCCCCGAGGAGCCTTGGATGGCTCTGTGAGTGAACATAGTGAAGGACATTTACAGACACAACGTGGCCAGAGAGTGGGTGCCAGGTGGGGCACCAGAAATCCCAGATCTGCTCCAGGATCCCTGTCCAGAACACAACAAAAAGTAGCATTTAACAACAATTAAAAAAAAAATAAAAATCAACAACAAAAAGCCCGGATGATGTGTCTGTCTTTACACCCAGACGCAAAGAAATGATGAAATTGTTAGTTCCCTCTGGAAAATGAGGCTGAGCCCTAACTACAGCAGCACAACGACAGGCAACTACAGCACAGCCTCGTCCTGCCAGTGGTCAGTGACACTGCCTATTTTAATCTTGCACCTTTCCTAGGCAGTGGATTTATAACATTGCTAATTGGCAGCTACAGACAAATAGAAAATGACCCAGTTTCTAACAGGTTTTGAACCAAATTCTTACACATCAGAAGCCTTGGAGTTGCTGTGTCCCTATGCTATTAAACTCCTTGTTTCTACATCAAAAGCACTCAGCAAGGGTGAGTGTAATACAGTTAATTTTAAAAACTGGAATGGCAAACCGATGAGTGTTTTGTAAGATGAAAATTAAAGGGAGAGGGGGGAAAACCCTTCTGTCTTGATGGATTTTGAAAGTTCAAGGTAAAGAATGCCAGAAGCTGGAAACAATGATCCCTGGCTCTTGTTCAGTCTAAGAGCACTCTGGTAGCAAAATGGGTCCTTAAACAGGGTGTTTACATCACTCCAGAAGTGT